ATACAACACGAATTTTGTCTTCATGGCCTTTCAAAGATGATATAACTCGTTTGAATTCATCACTAATATCAAGTTTATGTGGGTCAAACAAGAGGAGTATCATGTCACATTTTGCAGCAAACCATGAAATGACACCAGTAAAATCGTAACTCCTCTGTGTTCTTTGCTTCTCTCCGGATAGAACTCCAGGAGTGTCCACAAATGAAATATGGTCAAGGAGCTATTAAGGAATAAACATAATTAGATAAATTATTAAATTATGCTTCGTTTATACGACAAAAGTAAAAGAAATTGCTAGATGTTGACTCACAGAATGTGGCAACTGGGAGCACTCAAATTTTGACAAAAATGCTCCACCAAACTTGGTCAAATCAGTGAATGGCATCTCGGCGTGAACAGCAATAGTGTTGCCAGGAATGCTCCTTTCATCTGGACCAGACTGAGCAAAAAATAACTGTAAGGCACTAAAATGAGAAACCAGTACCTTAAACAAAGTACTATTAAACAATCAAATTGCATCGTTGATGTAATGCCCTGAAAATCTCATTGGAAAGGGAAGACTGTAAAGGACTATAAAGTGTTACAACAACTACTACTATTACTACAATGAGCATTAGGAGATAGTATCTTTAAAAAGGGTATACGACATGGAACAATTATTATTCCCTATTTACCGTAACCACAATAAATCTGTCGGTTGTTGGCTCTGGTCCGATATGTGCACCTATTTCAACCAAAAGAGAGAAGAAAAGAACAAACATTAGGTAATTACTGGCAAATAAAATAGTAATAAGAAATCTATAAACAAAAATAAAAAACGAAAATCTTTTTTTTTTCCAAAATTCTTCATTCCTGGGAAGAGGAAGAAGCAGGTAGGACAAAGGCCTTCTCTTTCTGTCCGCTCTTCCCGAAGTGAGCGAATTGCATGTAGAGATCCGTAAGTACAGAAATTGGACAGTACTAACCTGGATAATTGCACTTTAGCAAGTGTTTGATAAAAGTGGTTTTTCCTGTTGAGTATTGTCCCAAAAGCATGACCATAGGTTTGGCATCAAAATCACTCTCCGTCTGACAACAAGTAAAAGTAAGCATTCAGAAATACAAGTTTAACATCTATAAAGTCGTGGGAGGATACTACTTTTAAGACATAGTATGCTTTTGATCCACTCACCAGAGCAGGAGATGAAAACTCATTAAAGCGGTAAGTAAGTTCTAGTGGCTTCAACTTTTCATTGTATAGTTTCTTCAAACCATCAGTTACAGATGTAACAGCAGTGAGAGAAGGCTGGATCTGAATCAGTATCGAAACAAACAATGTCAAAATTAAAAATGAGAAAATATTCAAATGACCAATTTGTATTAAAGACACTACTACTACATTGAGGGACAAGGCCTGGCAGAACTTTTAGTTCTCTGAGTTAGTCAAGTTAACTAAGAAAAGAGACAAAATTTGAAAAAAATACACAATGCTCAATATGGAGTATGTAAACTAAGACAGATTTCATATTAACATCCCAAGGAAATCAGTACTCACCTTCTTTCTAGATTTTCTGGAAAACATGTTGATTGGTGACGGTGGTCGCACTTGTATAGTTCCTGTATGCTTTTCAAGTTAGGCGATTTAACCAAGACAGCTTATGATTCTTTTTGTTTGCGTAAAAGCATCATTGATGTGAAATGACACTTTATACTGACCATTTGTTCCACTCAAGTCTTTCATCAACGATCCATTAGTTTTCTGTGTGGCAAAAAAGAAACCATTCATAACCATGGGCTTATAGTTCTCATTTCTCAATAAGAAAATGATGAATTGTCAAAGCACTTACGGAAGATAAAGCATCCAAACCTTCCATCGATGGAGGACTCAAAAGCTCCATATTAGCTACAAATATCAACAAGAGAAAACGAAACAAGAATTAAGTCAATCATGAAACACTCAAATGTTTTCATCACCATGACATCCATTTGATTACTATGTTAAACAAAATACATCTAACTTATAAAAACTATAAAATGTGTATAATCTTTGTTGGATGAACTGCTGCAATAGTAAGAGTAGCCCATTAAGCAGATAGACAGTAAATCCTTTCAAGAGTATATAATGAATGTGAACGCTCAAAAAATAAGATAGTCATTTAGGAAATATTTCAATGATAATCCATCCTGTGTTTATCACGTTGACAGTAAAATCCGGCTCAAATATTATTTGAGCTTAAATTATCCTTGTGGCTCTATGACCCTAAATGCTTCAAATCGATTATAAATAATGATCAAGAAGCATTACCTTTGCTCTTAAGAAGATCAGGGCTGAGTTCAGATCCATCTTGTGCCAAGGAGATCAACTACAATAAAAGAAAAAAATGAATTTAGCTTCAATGTGATCAATTAAGACAGAAGTTATAGAGAAAACAAAAAGGTTAGTGCCAAATATGACCTGCATTGCAGTGACAAACTCGTTGAAACCCAGAAAACCTTGTCGTTTAGAATCTGCAATTGCCCAAACCTTCATACACAAAAATTGAAAATTAGTGATTTAACACTATCAGATAAGGTAAAATATATCTAGCAAGTCAACACAGAAGCAAAAGCTGCTAACACAGTCCAAATGTTGCTTTAAAACGAAAAGAGAACCTCAAGGTTCCCTTAAACTCATTGCACCCTGAAGGACTTTTATGCTGTAAAATGCAAGACCAGTCTATTTTCATTGGTTGGGAATTTTCTTCCAAAATAAAGATAATGGTATATATATAGTTAACCAAAAGATGGGAATGTAAATGACACCAACATAAAATTCAATTAAGCAATCACTACAACAGAAGTTACTAACGAATACATATATAACAACAAAAGACAACACTGAAGTTCAAAGATGCACATGTACATCTATGTTTTTATGTTTCTATGTACGCATATATGTGTGTATGTATGTATATCTATAAATCAGAAGGTAAATAGACCATGTATTCAAATTTAAAGAATCATGAAATTCATTTCTACACCAAAAAAGGGACCAAAATCAGAACAATTGCACAGAAAATCACTACTTGCTTGAGTTCAGGCCTTCACTAAATTTGAATATTCAAATAATCAACCGATAAACAATTGCCAACAGATTACTAATCAACAGATAATTAACAAACACACAAGCAAAACGCAATGATGCAGTTCAAAAACGAACATATAAATCACTATGAGAGGACGCCTACATGTATGTATGTACATCTACAACTCAGATATATAAACCAATCTCACTTTACCAACACACGATAAACAATAGAATATTCAATACAAACAATTATAAATTTCATTTTCACCAAAAAAATTGACAAAAATCATAACAATTGCTCAGAAGAACACTAACCTGTTTGAGTTCAGCCTTCGATAGATTCGACAACGAAAACAACTTAATAGCATCATTTCCTGTAATACGACCATCTCCATCTGCACAACGAAGCCAAAAAGAACATAGCGGTTGCAACTTTTTTTCAGTAATTTCAATCAAAAAATGTAAAAACGAAGAGTTGCTCAACAGAACAGATGAAAAATGTATAAGAAGAGAACAGAAAATCACACCTGAATCGGCGAAATTGAACCAGTTTTGGTAGATCTTTTCTTCCTCTTTCGTAAACGAAGCAACCGGAACTGATACAACCTCCATTTTTGCGTTTTTTTGCTCTGCGGAGAAGATGAACAGTATTCTTCAGTAATTTGAAATTTGAAAAACCCCCTGAATATAGCGGCCCCTTTTTATAATAGATACGGACACTATTTTCGAGGTCCTTTTGACGGCGTTAAATAACTGTGAAAAATTATCTAGCAAAATTATACGGCTACTAATCATCAAAATATTTAGAATTTTAAATCTTAGTCATCCATTATTATTGAATCTGAGATCGGATTTATTGGATGAATTGTTCGATTCTCTTGATTTATTCAAACTGATGGCATAGAAAGAAGGACAAAATACACATAAAAATAAATAGATTTTACAATTTTATTTATTTACGAGATTCATGACTTATCTATTATAAAAAAATTAGTTAATTTGTTTGATTAAATGTATAGAAAAAGTATGAAATTGAATAATTTATTAATATAAAATAAAGTTCAATGATTTTATTTGATAATTTTTTATAGTTCACTGAATATTAACTCGATGAAGGTAAGGATATACTACTATATTCTATCTTTCTTCCATTTATAGGATAAATTAAATTTTATAGACTCATTCTTACGATAAAATGATATGTTTTAATTTGACATGGAGTTTAAAAAGAATCTTGAAATTTGTATGATTATGGATCTTTATAACTTATCATCTTGAAAAAACATGTACTAATATGTGTTGTTATATACTATTAATTCTCTATGTTAATATTTTGCTATGAAGTTTTTTTTATTGATTTGTTCGATTGTATATCGTATCTATTTCATATATTGATGCTTTTGAGTCAATAGATGATTTTGAGAAAAAAAAATTAAAACTTGTGAATTTATTGCATAACATTTATCTGATTTGTCGTGTTACATTTATTATCATTGTTATAAAACTCTTTTATTTGCAAAATGAGAAATTTAATATTAAATTATATTTAAATAATGTCACATAAAATAGCTATAAAAATTAATTAAATGAATATTTAGGTCGATTCAATCATTGAAATAATAATTAGAAAAATAGTTAATTTTGGTATAGAAGTGACTAAAAAGGAATCTTTGAAAAAATGCCTTAAACTTATCCAATAAAATCTCAAAATTTGAAATTCAAAATTGAAACTAGCCGAAAGAAGAGACAAATTATCATAGTTATTATTAACACTATTAATAACGACTTAATGTGTGATTATATTTTTACTCGGTTATAGTTTTCGATATAATTATTTGGTATTCAAAATTCATTAGCTAGACTAATTTGATTTCACATTTCTTATCAGACTTTTTTTTTTATTTTCAGAATTTAAATTTGAAACATCTCATTAAACGCATGGATCTTATCTATCTTACCATGTTATATTTCAAATTATTCTAACATATCATGACCAAAATATGGATTAAGTGTAACTAATTGTTCTTTCCACAACTACAAGAAAACATTAATACAAATACTTAGTCAATGCACCCTTCTAAGCAAAACACTAATACAACTCTTTTTTCTTGTTAACTTAGAGCATGTAGATCTTCAAAAAAGGCAACAAAACACCTGCACAAACCAGAGACAAAAGCGAAATCAGACAAATAAAGGATCATATATAATCGAGGTGCGTGAAAGCTGACTCAGACACTATAGTCATAAAAAAAGGATCATATGAATGTGAAGCCATTTCAATTCCTTTTCTCATAAATGGGACACGAAGATCTCTATCTTGTCCATTCGTCCATGACGTTATTCATATTTAAGTGTATGACAATCTCATATCTTTTAAGACTTCCCATATACATTCAACTCATGAGCTTTAGTCTTACTCTGCATCCACAAGACTATGTATAGCTCGAGTCGAAGAAAGGATACATACCTTTGATTTAGCATTTTTTTTGTGATTATTTGATGAAGACATGTTTGATTGTGGCTGCACAACAGGGAACTTTGCAGCTGCTATATGCTTTTCCTCTTTAACTTTGTTGAAAATTACTGTAAATCCTTCTCCCGATTTCGGGTCTTTCTCATCCCATGCCCCAAATTTTGGTACTGATGCTGCTGATGAACAAGACTAACATACATACATACACATGAACAAATGAAAATTAGAGACATATTGTTCGAGTTCTATTTGGTGTAAACACAGAATGCGAGTAAATTTTGTTCGTACATCATAAGAGTAAACTTGTTTTTAACACACTCAAAATGTGATTGAAGTTAACTAAGAACCATATGTGATTCTTTTCTCGTTTGCTCAGGGCTTGGTGAACAGAGTTACTCGATATTTGTGTTGATGGGAGGTAGTAGATGGTCGTGGAATTAGTCAAGGTGCACACGAGCTGTCTCAGATACCACCACATGACTCGTTTTAACCATCAAGTTCATTGACAAATGTATAACTTATGACATCCTAATCACTTCATCAAAGCAGAGTATTTAAGAGGATAAGAAACTTACAAGATCATCAGATGGATTTCTACTATTTTTCATCGGTCTATTCGGACTAGGAGGAACGAATCCATTGCCACGATCGTTCTTATTCTTCTTAACATCAGATGTTCTTCTTCGTCGTGTTGGTTGGTTAACTGAAAACCCAGAAACGCTCTTCCTTTGACTATCCCCAAAGGACTCCGAATTTGAATTAGTCGGGCCAATACTCTTGTTTTGGCCCGACTCTACAGAAGGATTTCTGCGATGATCATAATGGTACTGATGTTTTTCAACTAAAGGAGAAATGTTAATGTTAGCATCCTCATCTCCGCAATATGCAAAGGCCTCTGGATTCTCCTCTGGATCATTTGGATTTATCATTTTACCTCCTTTACTATTACTTTTGCGCGCATTCTCAAAATAAGCTGTGTATGGCACATTTTCGCCATCCCAATTCCCAAATTTTGGAACATGTGATCCCTGAAGCAACAAGACTAATTCAGAAGTATAAAACAAAGACAACGCTTCAATCTTAAACAAGTTGAGGTTCGAGCACTCGCCAGTGGCTTCGCGCGCCTCTTATTGCAGAGGTTTAAACTAGCTCATCCATAACTATTTTTGTTCTATGGGTGCTCATTTAAATTATAATAACATATGTATCATATTTTCTATATATATATACACAAAAAATTTCGAAAATCAATGGGTGCTCGAGCACCCGCATCTGGCTTATTGGGCCTGCCCCTGTCTATTGGTATAAAACAACAACAACGCCTCAATCTTAAGCAAGTTGAGGTCAACCAGAATTTATTTGTCTGGTTCTGATTTGATACGGGAATTTGATAAAATAAAGAGGATGTTTGAATTATATGATTTTAAACTAAAGATATGTACTACTTATCGAAATATCATCTTGCGGATATAAACATATAATGTGAAACATTAAAACTAGAGTTGTTAAACAAGGAAAAAGGTATTTTTTTTAAATACAAACTAAAAAGAAGGGTAAGACAAACAATTGAAAGAGGAGTATTAACCTGACTAGAGAGATTTAAAATATATTTAAGTAAATACACGAAGAAAATTAGGTGATTTAACACCTATCATATATACACGTCACAAAACAATATTCAAGAGAACATAAGATAATTAAAGTGCAAAAAATTATCAGAATTTTGAAGAAGGAAACATTACTTACAGCCATGACTGATATTGAAGTTTAATTTCTTCTTCAATGGAAATACAGGAAAACTCAATATTTAAATTGGGACAAATTTTCTTTTTTAATTTATCTGAGATCCCAATGAGCTTTTGGACCTGCTAGGCAAATTAAGAAAAAGGTTTATTTGGTTACATATTATTTGTTTTCATTATAAATTAAATTAACCAAAACAACTTTGGACTTCAAAATTGTCTTTAATTTCTTGGCATGAAGGAAAAAACAAATGATCCTAAACTAAAAAAAAATGATTCAATTGGTTTTGGTTGACTCATCAATTGAGAGTTAATTGTTGGTTAGTCCTATTTATTTATATATTTCAAAATTTTTTACTAAAGAATCGATCGAATTTATTATTTACTTGTTCTAGTCAATATACTTAGATTATACACTTTTATTCATGTAATAAACTTAAATCCAATGATGACACTAATCAGTTTCTCAACTACATTAATAAGGCTAAAGTTAAATTACAATTCCAAAAATTAAATCTAACAACTCAAAAGGTAAAAGTCCAAGCAAAAATGTAGAAACAATGAAAGTAATTAAAAACTAGGATTGATTGAAGAAAGAGACGAGGAACTAGATTGAGAGAAAAACTGGATGGAGAGATATAAACTTTACCTAAGCATGATCATAATACGCATAATTATTCTTTCAAATTGGGAGTCTTTTTGAACTAGTTGCTAATTGGGTCTGGATCTCAAATAGCTGCTTATATGACATCACTATAAGTATCGATATTGGGCTGAGATTGATTCATAACAATTCACATGTTATACATGTATATGTACATTATATACATATGTTACACATTAACTGACTATTTTAAGTTAAAGCGGCTAAATGAAAGACTATTTCAATTAGTTCTTTAAAATAAAATCAAGGCTTTTTTTGGGAGAATTACGCGGTTAAACAAACCTATACTACTTAATTACTCATCATAATTATATTTTGCTATAATTATCACTCACGACTAACATTATACATTAATTACGTGGGCTGACTTCGAGTGTATATAATTAACCACGTTTGTATGCGTATAATTCGCCAGAATATACAAAAATATATGTATAATGTACAATTATCTAACCGATATACATATACAGTTCACCTCTCTCCCACTCTCTGTCCTCTCTCGCTCGCTTCTCTCCTCGCTCTCCCAATCTCGCTTGCCAAATATACAAATGCATATGTATAATATCTAATTATCTGACGGTATACATATACAATTCACCTCTCTCCCACTCTCTGTCCATTCTCACTCGCCTTTCTCCTCCCTCTACCAATGTCGCTCGCCTCTGTCCTCTCTCTTCTAACCTTGCTTGTCATATATACAAATACATATGTAAAATGTACAATTATCTTACCGATATACATAGACAATTCACTCATCTCCCACTCTTTGTCCTCCCCCTCGCCTCTCTCCTCTCTCCCAATCTTACTCGCCTTTATCCTCTCTCCCAATCTTGCTCGCCTTTATCCTCTCTCTCCCAATCTCGCTCACCTCTATCCTCTCTCCCAATCTCGCTTGTCTCTCTCCTCCCTACAACATGTAGCTACAAATTATAATTATCAAACTATAGTTATGTAGAATAGTTATACTATTTTTGAGTGGCTATATGTAAAAATTCTTTTTTTTAATGGTAGTCCCTACATTTCTCTTGTTGGACCTATTCGATGCAAATGGACAATAGCATTTTTAGTCCTTATGGTGTATGATTTAGCATATCTAATCTTTAATCAATAAAGATGTACATTTTGGTCCTTTATGTAAAAAATATATATTATATTTAAATTATGTTAGAACTATATTATCCTTAAATATCGAGTAATAATACAGTAACACTACATATCAACAAACTAAAGTGATAAGATTGATATCGCGATAATTTTCTGACTAATTACATACACAAGGATTCAATTAATTTAAGGTTTCAAAATTAAATATCACAAGAATCAAAATTCAAATTTAACAATGTTTAAAGGACCAAAATGGAGTTGAAATGACTCTTTGGACTAAATAATTAATGAAGTTTTTCTATATATTTCTCAAGTAAGAAAGAGTGAAGAAAATTTTCCTACTTCAATTATATAATGTAAAAAAAGCTTGATGGCTTTGCACTCACCACTAAAAACAAAGGCAAATTAGGCTAAAAGAAATTTTTAATAATTGATATTATTAAATTTGTGAAGAGTACCTGGTATAAAATTGAATTGTAACGATTTTGGGGTTATGTAATTAATGAAATTCTCCTACGTATTTCTCAAGTAAATTAAAGAAAAATTTCTTTATTTTTTCAAGTAAAGAATAATAATTAGTCTATCAAATAAAACGAAGTTATTCAATATTCAAGTGACCAAAATTATACTTTTCTCCCTACACTAAAATGAAGTCAAAATAGTTTTAGGATAATATACTTAAAGAAAACTTCCTCTATATTTTTCAAGTAAAGAAAAATAAACAATAGAACAAAAACATAATAAATCCGTTTCATCGCTTCTCCACCTATATAATGTAGAAAAAACATGATGATTTTGCACTCACGGTTGAATACAAATTATCTAAAGCAAAAATGACTCCTCACTCAATCTCTTTCACAACATTTCTTGCTTTGGTTTTGTTAATTGTTTCTTTCAAAAATGTCCACTCTAGATCTTTAATCCCCATTGAAGATTATGATCCCCCAAGAGCAGGTCATTGTATTAATAACGGTGAATATTATGTTTGTCCACCCCATAAAGGAGATCAGATATCTAATACGCTAAACCAAGGATTAACTATCAAAGATAGACGACCTGTAAGATCTGAACATGATTCTTCAACTTGGCGTCCTGTTCTAACTTGGCATAAAGTTCCACCACCTCCAAAAGAAGAGTAAATCAAACCATACATATTCTATATAAAAAAAAATAATTGTATTTCCATCTGCAAAATGATGGTTATGTTGAATAGTTGGTGAATTTCAATTTCAATAACACCTTCTTTCTCCCTTTCTCTCTTTTTAATTATTACAAAAGCATCATCTATCTTGATCCTAACAATCAATTTTAGTTGAATAGTTAATAATTTGATTTAAGTTGAATTTAATTTACACACTAATGACAATGGTGTAAAGTTTTAATCTAACACATTATTAATATAATTTAACACGCTATAACACATATTAAAACGATGGGTCAATTTTAAAAAGTCTCACTATAATTATCCCTACACCAAAATTAAAATTTAAGAATACTGGAAAGGGCAAACCTACAATTATCCCTTCACCAAAATGGAGACTAATAAAGAGTGCTAAAATAACGACAATTAAAAATTAAATGTCGCTTATAAACATTTTTTATTGTAATATATAATTATTACATTATAAAATAATTCACGATATAAAAGGATCCCCTTAAAGGAAATATGTGTTTCTAGAACTTTATTAATTATAATTTAACTAATTATATTTTTGTTTGTTAAATAGTAGGTCCAGTCCAGGGGACAAATCAATAGAAAGTATTATTTACTTCGTTAGAAATAAAAATGAACTTCTATGAAAAGAAAGCCGGGGTAATTTCCTCGGAATTGGTCTTAGAGAAGTAGATGTAATTTAACACTTTATAATGAATATATAGGAAATTCGTTATTTCTAATGAATCCTCGATAATATTAAAAAGAAAATATGATATGAAAATACTTTAATTTTGGTCGAATTTGTTGTTGTGATACTAAATTTTTATGAGTACCTATTACTTCTTTAGACTATTTAATACCGTATTTTAAACATATATATTTGTCTACGTGCACATAAAAATAATGCAAAATTATAAATTGTGATGTGTCCACGTGAACACATATATTCCCTTAAATACACTATTAAATAGTTCACGAGAGTAATAGGTCCTCATAAAAGCTTAATATAGCAACAACAAATTTGATCAAATTAAGATATTTTTCAGAGTCTTATCCCTATTAAAAACTAGTACAGAAAAGGAAATAAGCATTACCACAAGTTCACCCGCTACCTCATTAATAAGAATTAAGATTTCTTATTGAAAAATCAAATCCTAATCTTCATTAGTTTTCTGTTATACTTACTTGTTTTATCATTAGTTGTTATGCAATTTTAGAGAAAAAAATTGCAACAGTTTATTATCAAAACCCAATTTTTTCACAATTCCAAGAGTTACAATTCAATTAACACAAAACCTATTTTCATTAGTTGGACTTTTCCGCCAACAGATGTATTAAGATCAATACTGATAGTAGCTTCATGCCAAATTCAGGATTGGCGGGGTTTGGAGGATGTTTCGGAATGACGAGGAAAGGTGGTTGGTGGGTTCTATGGACGACTTGGTATGAGAGATACGTCCAGTCTTACAACTGAATTATGGAGAATATAAAGTTTGATTTTGGCAAAGAATTACGACTTAAAAGAAGGTTATTATCAAGATAGATTCGAGCGAAGCCCTAAGTTTGCTACGTAATGTATTTGAAAGTCATCCCGACTACGATATAATACAAAAATGCAAGAATTTTATATCAAAACTTGAGATTATATTGTTTCATACGTTAAAACAGGGAAATAACATCTCGCAAAATCATTCCAACCGCATCGCAAAATCATTCCCACCGCATTGTTATAAAAGAATGAAGAGTCTTATATCCAAGCTTGAAATTGTAACTTCAAATATTAATAAGTTAGCCTTGGATATTATCATAAATAACTTTATTTACTAATGTGAAGAAATAAATATTTTAACTCAAAGTTCAAAAATATATCTATGGTTAAAAAGTAGGCATATTTTTTTAATATGTTTTAAATATTCTTTTTACGAACTTCAACATTATCTAAGAGAAAATAAATTTATAAAACTCATTGTTAAAAATTGAGGACCTAAAACAATTGTTTTACTATCCCCATATAGGGGTGACAAATGGTTGGATTGAATCGAATTTGAATGGTTTAAATATGATTTGAGAAAAAATAATTTCGATTACAACCATCCAAATATATATTCTGGCAAATTATACATATACGAACGTGATTAATTATACAAACGTGAAGTCAACCCACGTAATTAATGTATAATGTTAGTCGCGAGTGATAATTATAGCAAATTATAGTTACGATGAGTTATTAAATAGTATAAGTTTGCTTAGCCGCGTAATTTCTCAATATAATACGGGCAAATATGGATTTGGAGTTCTAACCCATTTAAATAAAAAAAATAATCCTTCCCACATACACCCCCTACCCCGGGGCGCCCCCCCTCCCCCACACTTTTCACCAACCTATCCCTAAAATATTTTTTTTCAAAAACAAAAAACATTTGTTTTTTCAAAAAAAATAAATAAATTTACCCCTCCCCCTGGACACCCCATCTTCCACCAACCTACCCAATTCTTTTCCAAAAACAAACAAAAAAAACTGTTTTTTTTAAAAAAAAAAAAATTACCCCTACCCACTTCCACCAACCTACCCCTAAAATTTTTTATTTTTTATTTAAAAAAATTATCCCCTCCCCCCTGGGGGTACTCCCACCCCTGCCTTCCCCCCTCCCACCTTCCACCAACCTATCCCTAAATTTTTTGGTTTTCGGAAAAAAAAAATTTATCCCCTCCCCTTAGCGCCCCACAAACCCCCTTCCACACACACACCTTCCAACAATCCACCCTTAAATTTTTTTTACTTTCCAAAGAACCAAATTGTTTCATATCACTTATATAGCAATGGATATGAATTCTCATGTTAATTCATTTTGTTCATATTTATATGAGCTTAAATAAGTTGAAGACCATATTAACCTATTTAAGAAAAGAAAAGAAAATATGAGTAATCCATTAAAGTTAATATGGTCAAAATAATTTGATTTCACTTATATTGATTGAAATCGCCACCCCTACCCTCATACGACAAGTTGTCGCAAGAAGACTTGATAAATGAAAATACATTCTTAATTTTCATTCGTCACCGTCGTACTCTCATTCATTACCCCTAACTATGTTTGATCCCTACGTGGACAATCTATTTGGGACTATATCGAGAGGCCTAGCTTTAATATCACGTTAAAGAAATGAATCTTGAGTTCAATTTAAACAAACTTACGTACGGGAAATAAAAAAAAATTATGTTACTCTTAACAAAATTTCACTTCATTTTATAAAATTGATACAAACAGATAGTAAACTTGACAATCCAGGAAAGACACCATTATCAACACTCAACAGTGAAATTACAATAAGTAGGAAGAAAATCAGCAAAATTTTGACATTTAGGATATACATATATACTGTATATAGTAGTTTCTCTACGTATCGATAGCACAGATTTCTGTACAACTACCAACACACAGTAAAAACCTTGTCGTTGACTGGGATTTACGAAATACCAATTGTTTTATTGAGTATCCAGAGTGTAAGAGACAGCTGAATCGCGAAAATTGTATGAAGCCATGTCCGATCTAACATGAAACCATACACGGTGATTCCAGCTTTGTTATGCTCAAAGTATGTTACTGCAAAAGTTCAATGACCGAGATCAATAAGGTACAATGTAGCCGATTCCAAAGACATGAAATTATTCAACGAAATAAACAAAAACGCGCTGGAGACTAGAGTTACCTAGTGCTTGTCTCTTTTGGTAGGATATTGTACTGGCATGAATAGGTACCATATTTGTGTTGTCCAACACATCGTCTCCGTCTCCTTCCTCGTCTGTGTCCCAACTGGAATTGATAGGGTATACCACCTGAGGTGCCACGGACCGAGCCATGGGAGTTTCCTCAGTCATGTCATCTAAGCTGCTGATTGTTGCACAAGCATGCCATTTGGCAGCAAGTGATGTAACAGCTTGTGCTTTGTGTGTGATCTTTGCTGCACTACGTAAGCACATGAAAAGTCCAGTTACCAGAGTAATTGAGCTCAACTGCATCATTACGTGTATACAATGTCAAAACAGAACGATAATAACATTTGCAGCTACGTAATCAAGAAAAGGAAATGAACCGGTAGGTGAGAATGAAGCATTACCGCAAGTTCACCTGCTGTAAAGATGTTCACTGTGGAGCTAGGCTCAGTAGTAAGAAGCAGCGCAAGAAACTGGCTTATGGTAACTAGTATGAGAGTTGACAAAATGAAAACTCTGAACCGATGACTAATGACACGAAGATTTCTTCTGATTCGAAGATGTTCCATCATGATCGATGAGACATCAGTTTCTTTCTCGAAAACTTGAGCAAACTCTTCCAGTCTAAGGATCTGCAGGGAGCATATTAACCGGAATAGGACACATACAAGGAAGGAAATTGATATCCGGTAAAGCCAGGAGCTTATTAACAGTATGCATACGAAGATATTGCTCAAAGCAGCATTGTACAGGTAAGGAATTTGTGTTCCCCCGGAGGAAAACCACCATATCTTGTAAATACTCTCAACAATAAAAGAAGGGAGGACAAAAGATGAGAGGATCTTCATCGACCTCTGCACGAAAAAAGGAGAAACTGTTATCCAGCTGAACACTCCAATAAAACAAAATATCACTAATTGCTCCAAAATAACAACAAGGGCAATTTCGATTAACAAACCAGATGTGTATCAAGGCCAACTTAGTACCTATACAAATTCATGATTTCGGTTTAAAAGGGTGTAGGTAAATGTTTGATTCTTTACCAATAACAGAAAACGTCAAGATATGTATTGAAGCGTTTTCCAAGGACACTAGCATCAGCAGTATTTGTCAACTCTAGAAATACTAACATATTGTAATCCACTTAAAACTGATGATTCTCCAACGATTATCAAACAGGCCGAAATTTTTATCATGAATGCTATTTAACAGGACACTATTAGCTTAAATCATAAGAAAAACTATAAAAATCAGTTCTTTCTACTTATGAGAGAACTGTTGAATTGTATGACCATATTATCCAAAAGCTTAGACTAGAAGGGATCATTTTTATTTTACTAAATCATGTATGTTTGAATTTGTTCATTTGGAATCTGCCCCCTCACATGAAGGCATGATCCGGTTGATAGGACAAATGTGTGATTAAGGCTTGAGTAAGATTTCAACCTAGGACCTTTACACCTATCTCATCTAAAAGTTTAAGCAATTAGAGAAATGGCACCCGAAAAGAACCTAGAGACTCAATCTACAAATGGTTAACTTGTTGAAACTTGAAAAGATCAGCAAAGAAATTTTGAATCAATCCCGAAAGCAGCAGTCAAGTAATTCCTAAACCTGACTTAACAAGCAGGGCAGAGCTAGAAGAGCGGAAGGGGTTAATCCAAACCCCCTTCACTGGAAAACCACATTGTATATAAAAGATCCAATCTTTTTTCATACAAAGTAGATGCTGAGCACCTTGTTAACAATCCTACATTCGCCACCGTCAACAACCATAATGTTATCGAACATGGCGCTTGCTTGCTTGCTAGGCTTAGTTAGGAAATAAAGTTGCGCCATTGCTATTAGCTATAACATTTAGCATGATAGAAAGCACTTGATCCTAACACATAACACAATAGCTTTTGGCATGATGGTAAGCGTTTGATCCTAATACATAACACAATAGCTTTTGGCACGATAGTAAACGTTTGATCCTAACACATAACACAATCTACCAAAGAAGATTTAACAAGAAGGGTGGAAATTAACTTACATGTAGCTGTTCAGTGTATCCTTGTTGCACCTTTTCACTATCTTCATACAATTTATCAAGAAACAGAAACTTCCGTATCCCGTATTTTCGAGCAAAGCTAGAAAGACTAACAAATGATAAAGTTGCAAAAAGTGATAAAGAAACTTGAACAAGAGCATCAAAAGGTCTCTGATGCATAGTATCACAGGTTAAACAAGCAAACATAAAGTGAGATACTAATGGAACCCCAATTGTAAGAATGGAAAAAAATGACCAAGAAAGACCAGCCCTCCATAGATTTGATTGATCAAGAAAAACCCATGTCAGAGCTGATTTAATCTTCTTGATTTCTTCAGAACTTTCATTTGTTGAAAAACCTGAAGAAACCATTTCTTTGTTACTCTGCAACAACAACCCTGTTTCACCTTCTTCCATTTTTTACAAATTTCTTCAGCTACAACTTACAACAAACACTTGTTGGGCATAATATGAAAAACCCAAAACACACACCAAATCAATCAAATGAATACAGAAAATTTCAAGATTCAATTTTTTTAATTACCCCACTAGGGAATTTAGTAAGATGATCAATCCTTCAAGATGTGACTTAAACCAAAAGCTATATATATACAATTAATTAAGAAAAAAGATTGTTACAGATGGAAAAATAAGCTTGGTGGTTGGTTACTGTTTGATGTTGACAAAAAAAAAAAATCAATTCTTTAACAAAGATTAAGAAAAAAACAAAATAATTTTTTTTTTTACTTTCTAATCATGATTTCTTTTTACCAATTTTTGGATCATGACAATTAGCAGATCATTGTTTCTTATTATTTTCCCCACACCATTACAAGTGTCTGGTATCTGATTAATTCGAATTCGTAAAAATTCAAGATTCGATTTTTACGAATTTTTAAAGAGATTTTAAAGTTAAATATAATATTAACTTATTTTACGTCAAGTATTTAGTGAATTCTTAACAAAAATAAGTAGTTCAAATAAAAATTACTAAATTTACGTGAATTCATGACTTAAATAACATCAATCTAATATTTTAAGGGGTAGATCTACATCTACGTAAAACTAGATATTAATATAATAGATTTCTTTCGTTTGATCTGATATAAATTTTAAGAATGAAAGTAATATTTTTGAAATTGTGATTAAACCTGATATGGAAAAATATGTGATTATAAATATATTATTAACGATAAAAATGATATTTAAAGTTAAATTTTTACTATCAAATAGAAAAGCTATGTTAAAGGTGTGAAAAGTCTGATATCACTGATTAATATAATAGCAGAAAATTTCGTAATAATTCTTCTCACTTTATACTAAACTTTGGATGCAAGTTAGACGTACCATGTAATATCATTCTTTGTGCTAAATTAAAAAAAAAAAGCGAATATTATATAAATTGTGATAAAAATCAGACAAAATATCAATAAAAATTACTAATTTCACATGAATTCACAGCTTTAAAAGTAAATATATTTTTAATAAAATATGCGGCATAATATATATTGAATTCTAAACTTGGCTTCAAATTTTAACTTTAACCTCAAACTTTCATAATGCACAAATAGGCACTTTAACTATCCTATCTTTCAATAAATAAACACGCATTTTTGGAGCTATAGTGCGTGAAATGCAAACGTTTCCATGTGTATTAATGAGTCAATCAGTGGCTGCCAACTAATTAAACAATTTACACGTCTTTTTTTTAAAAAAAATATTTTACACGTCTTTTTGAAACTAAAAAATTGTAAAAGAGATTAATTAAGCATAGAATTATCATTTGAGTATTTTTTTATCGTTGTGGGCCTCGAAAATTACCCCTCACTCGCGCAGAAAATGCGTGTTTTTCACGCATTTTGCCAGGTAGGAATCACATGTTTATTTATCGAAACATAGGATTGTTAAAGTGCCTATTTGTGCACTATAAAAGTTTGAGCTCAAAGTTAAAATTTAAAATTAAAATTAAGATCCAATATATATATTATGCCTAAAAAATTTTTTTTATTAATAAAAAATAATTTAATTTAAAACTCGAATTCGAAAAAAGACATTATTGGTATAAGATATTGTGTGGAAATGAACAATGCCAAATGGAAAAAAATATTATGAAGAGAAAAAGAAGGTGGGGAAATCACAAGTAGCATGATGAAGTGAAAGGTGAGATTTGGATTGCTGCTTCGTGAAGCTTTTTTGGAACATCAAAAAGTAAAATAAACCCCACCACCATCTCTCTTCTTCCTTTTTTTTTCGTTTCGTCCGTTTTAATATATTTATCTAATTTTAATTTTGATACGAAAATTGAAAAGATAAATAAATCTTTTTAAATTTTATGATTTTAAATTAAAAATATGAAGAATATAAAAAAAAATGTTTAAGGAAAGAGAAAAAAAAACTTATTTTTTTAGTCTAATTACTAAAAAGGGGGTTATATATAACAAACAAATTAAGAGGAATTCATGTGCAACATTTGACCTCCCAAATATTTTTGTTTCGTGTTATTTATATTAAAAATTTTGGAAGATGAAGAGAAATAGTATATTGTTTTTTTTGCCAAATTTTATATTTAGTTGTTAGGTCTAAAATTTGTTATTAATACTTATTGTTTAATTTTTAATGTTATATAGTTGGACCCTAAATTAATGAAATTGTATACTACATATTATATATTTCCTGCATTGGTCATGATCAATAATTCTTTTCACATGAAAATAAAAAATTACCTTTTTTTAATGGATCCTACGCGATATAAATATAAATTAGCCAGATGTGAATTTTTGCATGGAGGTTTAGATTGATAATTTTGTTTCTTCAACTTTTTAGGTATTTAATATTCAGAATTTACTGATTGTGAGTCAAATTCAAATAAGTGACAAATAAGTATATTAAGCGAGATTCCCTGAAACGTTCTTTAATTTAAAACACTAAAATCAAATTTTTTGATTAAGAATAAGAAATTTCAACCATCTTATTTTTTGACTGACATCATTATTTCCTATTTAATTAATCTAGACTCGTGCATGGTTGCACACTTTCACTTGAGTTTCAACTCTTAAATAAATTATTTATATTTATCTAAGCTAAAAAGTTTGAATTTTTTTAAAAAATAATTGATCGTACTATAATTTATTTTATTACGTTAAAAAATAAAAGGAGAATAAGCCAAATAATCCTTAAAAAAGTGCAACTTGTGATTGAAAGATAATACTTGCCTATTAGGGAAGTAGCAACCTTTATTTATTAGCTCGATACGTATATAATATCTGTTTTTGTTAAAATTCAATTAATTCGAGTTAAATTTACTTTATAAGATAAGATTTTTATTATTTTTTTAATTAAAATTTGTTTTATTTTCAAAGCTCATATATACAAAATCTCTCATTAAAAATATTAAAATATATTCTTTTACCATTCTACCGCAATCTTGTATGATAAGGTTGCTAACTAGCAAAACATTACAATCAATTGAAGAGCAAAGCAACATCATGATTTTGACAATGTGAATAGAGACAATAATATTATCATATTGTGTTTTCTTCATTTAATCAATTGCCTTATATCTTAGTTTAGCAATAATTAACTGATTATAATTTTGTCCTTGTTATAATCTTCAAAGTTGCCATGTATTAATATATCATTTATAAATTATTAGGTGCTGAATGTATAGTATGTTGGTTGTTTCGTATAAAATGTAAATAAAGATCAATAAATAATTATATTGTTTTTCTGTATAAAATGTTATTTGTAAGATTACGCTGAATTGATATATATTTATTTTGTCGAATCATATGCTATAATATCAATTGTTAGAATAAATCAATTCAAAAATATTTTTCACATAATATAATAAGATTATTCGTTTTGAACTAAGTTGGTATGAGTTTTTCAAAATTATATATCTCACACCATTATATTAGGAACATTCCTAAACTTTATACATGTTAATCTTTTTCTTTTTCTATTTAGGTATTAATGTGAAATTTTTATTCACATGCTCTAGACATGATGGTACAACAACTCATGTGATATGTCCAAATTTTAATTATTGAAAGCTTTTAATGATATAATAATGTTGTAGAACTTTAGGATACCAAGGTAGGGCAATAAATGGAATCACATAAAGCAAGCAAAGTGGAGGGCTTAAAGCCTTGAATTGGAATTGTGGACACAAAATTAGAGTATTCATTTCTAGTCATGGACATATAATGGTTCCATCATATCCACACAAAAAGTTGTGTTAATTTTTATATAAAGAATCGGAATCAGAATTTAAATTTGATTCTAAATTTTAAGATAGGAAAAAGTAGAAAAAAAAACCATCAGTTATCCCTTTTATAGGATTTTTTTTTGGCATATGACTCCTTTTTTATTTCTCTAAAAAAATAATTAATTTTTTATATTATAATCTAAAAATCTTATAATATTTTAAGGAGTATATTTTTACAAATTTTTAAAATAGAAATAAATGCAAATAATAAACTCTTTTATCTCATGGCAAATGGTGGTAACTTACATCCATTTCACTAATTCGAGAGTTAATAATGTAAATACACTTTAATTTATAATATTATATGTCTTATCAAATTTTGATACGTCTAAATACATGTATCTTGAGATACATGAGTTAAAATTGAATATAAGGAAATATGTGAACCTGATCGATCGTCATGTGTAGAAATTGTTAGGTTTAAAAGTTTATTTTTACATATTTAGTAACTTTGTTGATATAAATATTAAATTCAAACTAAAATTATTAAGTCCAACCAAAATTTTAGGTAATTTTTAAAACTTTTATCAAATTAAAACGAGTGGTGATAAGCACTTAAATTTTGAAAAAATAAAAAGAAGAAGAAGAAGAAAAGATAAGCACTACTTCGAAGGTATTTTTGATCAATAACCTATCAACTTTTTTTTGTCAATATATACACGTAAACCTTTGTTTCATCTTATTCATCACAATTGTCTTTTCACATATAATTTAAATAAGTTTGACAATATTTATGTAATTTTCATCATATATCCATGTAAAAGTAATTAATAATAATTACTAAAAAAAATAGTACTACTTAAGCTTCTTTATAAATTTTATAAATAATGAAATAGTAATGTATCTTCTATTTTTCCATGCTATTCCATTCTTATATAGCTCGATCAAGAAATAATCTTGTAGCTTATTATTAGCTTTCGATTCAACAAAATTTAATATTTTTAACAAGATTATATTTTGACTACTCCAGTATTAAAATTTTTAGCGGGTTAAATTAATTAAAAGTTTATATTTTGAATCTGTCTCGGTACATGAATCAAAATTAATGTAATTATCATGTGATAATTAAGAAAATTAATTAGTTTTAATGTTCTATCATAAAACATGTTGCGTGCCGACAACTTCAGTTTCTTTTTCTTCGTATTGACTCATATTATTGTTAGTTCAATCAAATTTTAATATGAATGGTATTATTCCGTCTCAAATTATTTATTATAATTTTAAAAATATAATTATCTGAAATTATTTGATTAGGAGTTATAATTTCGAGTTATACAGATAACTTTTTTTTTATAGAAATACAGAATAAAATTGTATAGAATAAATTTATGCGGTTATCTCCTTTTTTAAACCCTACGTATGGTGAGAGGTTTTAGTCCTTAGAATTTTTCTTTTGAGTTATCTCAAACTATTGTTAATTTAAAAGCTCAAGACAAAATTAATTATTTTTTTGATTTTATCTTTATATAATTGTTCATAAAGATTATAAGCATCAGTAAATATTTAATGAAAATATTATATAAAAAGGAATAAAATAATCAAAACTTATTTTTTGGTTAATATTTTTCTGAAAAAACATGTTGATAGATAATTCGAGATAAAATGAGCATATACCTAAAAAAAAAATGACGACAACGTGGGACTTGGTTTTAAGTTTATAATGCAAGCAACGTCTTTTTTATTTGGTCAATATTGATTCAATTAAGCTAATTTAAAAACAATTATTAGAGAGACTATGATTTATAATCAATAAACAATTCAATAATAACAAAGATAATATCATAGACAAGATTGAAGACAAGACACGAATTCAACAGAATTTAATATTATTAGTTCAAATCAGATATGCATATTTCATTTGTACTTAAAAAGTTATTTCCCTATAAATTAATAACTCAAAGGTTAAATATAATGTTGTTTTTTTAAAAAAAATGTAAGTAAATTAATAGACAATGATAAATATTCATCTTGATCTATGATAAATATTCATCTTGATCTGTCAAAAGTAATGGTAATTTTTTTTAAAAAAGATTCTTAGAACATTATTTTTTAATTAAAGTATCTTTTAATAATTGATACGATTTTTTCAAATCTTTTCTAAGACGGGGTAAGAGAGAACGTTGGTGGCATATTTGTCTCTCTCTGTATATATAAACTTTTAATCGTGGAGTCGCTGATTTATATCTTCACTTATAATTTAAATATAGAATAAAATGACCATTTAATAACTCAAAAGGTACTTTTATAAATCTTATATATTGTTTTTAGTGATCTTTTTATTATTAGGATATAGAACAAATGACCATACAAAAAACTCAAAGGGTATTTTTATTTATCTTATATATTAATTTTTTTTTGAAGAAAATCCATAAAAAAAAAAATAGAAATAGTCTACTAGACCAAATTTTATAGCAATACATCTCACTTGGTATTTATCGAAAAGTCCAACAGCTAAGGCATGGGACAAAAATATTTTATAAACAAATAGATTGATCGGTGACTTAAATAATTAAATTTGTTTTCTCCAAAAATAACATTTATTGCCTATGGGAAATAAGTTCTAGTTGATTTGTGACGATTTTAATCGTTTACTCTTTTTTTTTTTTTAAATATCTCATTTTGTCATCATTGAGAAATTAGTTTTACTTATAAATTATGAATTCAAGATATTTCAACAATTGTAAAGTGTGATACATTGTCTATGAGACATCAATTTTAGTTATATTGACATGCATATAGTTAAATAAGAATCAAATTCTTACCTCATATGCTCCTAAGATATGCCCGACATGTAATCAAGCAGTGGAGAATCAGTATTTTTATTAAGAAAATTTAAAACATAAAATTCAAATATGTTTATATCTATTATATATACGTAAAAAATCATATATTAATTGTATAATTTTCTACCGAACAAGGTCTAGAAGACCCTTTTTGGCCCTTGCTATCTCCGCCACCTACTAACTTGTAACGACTCTTATTTTGACAAGCCCACTTAACCTCATTTTTCTTTGGGAAAATTGCATGTAACAATAAATTATTAACTCAAATTAAATGTCATAAATATACTTTGATTTAATTGTACCCCATAGCAAACTATTGATATTTTTGGTGGAATCTCGCTTACCACTCTCGTTTGGTGGCAGTTTCGCTCGCCTCTCTTGCTTTTTTATACATGCACAAATGTATTAAATGTGTTTGTATAAAGCGAGAGAAAATTGTATAAATACATATATTTTCGTTCTCCTCTCTCCCTTCTCTCAGATCTCGCTCGTCACTCCCCCGAATTTCGTTCGCCACCCTCGTCTCTCTCTCTTATACAATTAGAAACGAAATATATAAATTGTGATTCTGTTTGTATAAAGCGAGAAAAAATTGTATATACACATGCAAATACATATATCTTCGTCTTACACACTTATAATTATACAATACAAATATTCCACTGCCTATTTTTCTTTTGTCTTTCTCTCTTTCTCGTTTTATACATACACAGATTATACAATTGATCTTTTATGTACAACTGCTTTCTTTTGTATATGTATAGCAAATTATACAACTGCCTTCCTTGTATATGTATAACGAATTATACAATTGTTTTCTTTGTATATGTATAACGAAATATACATATTTATGTTTGCCATAGAACGCAATTATAAAAATTTTGCTATAACATACAAATATAATTTTTGTATTTGTTATATGTGAAAGTTGCTCTTTTTATTTAAAAAACCCAATAGGCCCAATGTTTTATCTTGACAAGTCAATAGTCCTCATTTTGATGAGCCCATTAAGCCTCGATCCTATTTTGACAAGCCCAATTGATCTCTATATTGTGGGTGAAGTGTGTGATAATCGGATTTTAATGTTGTCATTTGATTTGTGTTCCTTTTTAATTTTTTCTGCATGTGTATTCTACTCTATGTGTGAAGTTTTTATACAGCTAACGTTCAGATACATAGAGTTAAAATTTAACCATCGTTGACTACTGAAATTCAATCACGTAAGAGAAAATATATGAATTTAAGCTATTTTTACAAGTTTCAAACAGTTACGTATAAACATCATTCATATGTAATTTCTATCATTTTATTTGAAGCTCGATATTTTTCAAACTCTAACGTCAGATATCACATATTCAAAATAAATACATGTCGAAAAAGAATTAAACGATAAACACAAATAACGATATCAAAATAAACTACACCACGAAAAACAGGTCCAAAACTTCGGTTCGACACCGATCCAGACGAATATACCGAACCAAAAACTTACCGAAAATGACAATTACAGTCCTCCAAAAATATCTAATTTTCCAAATAACGACAAAACATTTTGGTACTTTTCAAAACAATCCCCAAACTTTTCCAATTCCATCGCACTTTTTTTCCAGTGGACAAAGCTGTTTGGTTTCTCAGAAAACTAACAACTTTCCCACTTTGGAATTTTCTTTACCTTACCTAAGAAGGGTATTAATTTGATTCTTGTGGGAAGGAAGAAGGATCAAGAATGGCGATTTCGATTTCTGCTATGAGTTTTGGAACCTCAGTTTCTTCATATTCTTGTTTTAGAGCTAGGAGTTTTGAGAAGTCATCAGTTTTATGCAATTCCCAGAACCCATGTCGGTTTAATTCTGTTTTTCCGATTCGGAAATCTGATGGGGCTTCACGGTGTTCTGTTTCTAGGTAAATTATTGCATAAAGTTCTTGTTTTTATGGTAAATCAGCTCAAAAATATGATTTTTCCCCCAAATATTTGCTGTTTTTTGGGGTTGTCGTTTAGTATATTTTTGTTGGAATTTGAAATTGACAGTTGTGGCTAAGAGAATTGATTTATTTCTTTGGTTATTTAGTTTGTGTCAATTGCAAATGATTAGCATTCAATGATTAAAATAAAGGCAACCCGATGCACTAAGCTTCCACTAGTTTTACGCCATTTTACAGTAGCACAACTCAAACTCGTGACCTCTAGGTAACCTAGCAGCAATTTTACAAGTTACGTCAAGGCTCCATTCTTAATGGATATTTCTTAAAAGAATTTTGCTACGCATTTACGAGTTAAAAAGGACATTTAGTTAGTATTTGAATCTTGCAAATGATTAGCATTGAAAAGAAGTTCTTGTGCTTTTGTTGCTTAAGAAGATAGTTTATATAGTATTAGAATGTAATGAGCTCAAATAGAGCCGAATGAATATAGAGGATCTTGTAGTCGACTTGAACTAGTTTGGAATCGAGGCAAGTTAATTGTTTGATTGCTTTTTTGTAGTAATTTGCAGGTTGATTGACATTTTCTTGAACTTGACATAGATGAATGACGTCCTTCTCTCCGTTGTACAATTGTCTGCAGGAAATCATGTAGAGTTCGAGCAACGTTGTTACAAGAGAATGAAGAAGAAGTGGTTGTGGAGAAATCTTTTGCACCTAAGAGTTTTCCTGATAACGTGGGAGGGGGAAGTAATGGGAAGCCACCAGATGATTCATCCTCTAACGGTCTAGAGAAATGGGTTATAAAGCTTGAGCAGTCTGTAAATATCTTACTCACGGTAAGTATTACATTTTCTGAATCTAATTAGTGTCTTGTATATTTCTTTTCAACTCGACAACAGGCATCTTCGTCGGAATTGCGTGTCAATTAATATCAGTCCACTATGGCTCGACCTTAAAATAAGTTAATCTTGGCTATATGGATTCATGCAGCATGGTGCCAATAAGTTATTTCTTCACTATTAACTACACAATGGCCTATCCTTTCTCCCTTTCCGTAAAAGAAGAAAACACAACTAGATATGATCATGGTTTATGTTAAAGTTTTTGTTTGAATCACTTTAGTTGCAACTTGAGCAATGCATCGGAATTCGGTAATAGAGTGTGCAATTTCATCTTCTTCTGATATGTTTTGTATTGTAAGTTTATGGAATTGCTTTGTGCAGAGTGAATAAGTTATTTTCTGAAATTAATTTTATAGTATTATGTGATACGTTGATGAAAAGGTGTTTGACAGTATTTTCTATTAGGAACATCTTTATTGCAACAGGTTGACTGCTGAGTAGCTTTTCAATATTTTCATTTGGTTTGAAATTTGTCTGATTTCAAAATTATGCCTGATAATTTCAGGATTCAGTGATAAAGATTCTTGACACTTTGTATCACAACCGAAACTATGCGAGGTTTTTTGTTCTGGAAACAATTGCAAGGGTTCCTTATTTTGGTAAGTACTATTCTTTCAAGCTGCTGATTGTTTTGTAGTACCTAGATCACTTTTCAAACGTCTTCCTGTAAGATTTGAAAGGGAGTTCTGTTTTGTTTTTTTGCTCACATGTAATTACTACAGTACTTCCGTAGTGCTACCTTTATAATACTATCAACAACAATAAATACCTAGTGTGATCCCATAAGTGGGGCTCAGGGAGGTTGGGGTGTATGCAGACCTTACTCCTACCTTGGAGAGGTAGACCAGTTGTTTCTGAAAAGACCCTCGGCTCAAGAAAAGCATTTTCAAAACAGGTTTGAAGGATATATGAGCAAAGAGCTCTGATGAAATTACATAGAAAAACAGAGAAAAATATTGACAACAAAGTAGTAACGATAATACAATCACCATTCTCTCATAAGGAGATCACTTCTCAAACGTCTCTCTGAGTTTAGGTATATATTAATTATTTATTCTACTTGTTTCTTACCTCTGAACATACACTCTAACTTGGTCATCGTGCAAGAGATATGATTGTACCTTTCTAAAGCAGGTTACTGACATGCTTCTTTTCCCCGTTGAAGGCCATAAATATCTTTGAGCGATTTGAAGAGACCGAATAACCCTTTCTTGATTTATTGTACTCATGAAAGATACTATTGTAAATCCAACTTCTAATAAAGACATGTGTGGCCATGTGTTCATAACAGCATTTATATCGGTTCTTCACATGTATGAGAGCTTTGGCTGGTGGAGAAGGGCAGATTATATGAAAGTGCATTTTGCTGAAAGCTGGAATGAGATGCACCATTTGCTCATTATGGAAGTAATGCTCCTTCTAACTTCTTGATTTCCTTTCAATGCATCCAAGTTTTATTTTCCTCTCTGCCTTTTAATTAAACTGATGAGCATCTGTCTTTCCGGTTTAGTGAGTGACTTGTATATGTTCTGTCTTAACTAGCCATAGTTTATTCAGAATGAGTTAAAATGTGAAGAGCTTGATGTTTCGTTTTCTCCATGTGCAAGTTTGAACTTTTTGCTGGAAGAGTATATTACAGCTCATTTACTTATTTACTGAAAGAATAAACTTTTTCTCTGGGATGGGCTTGTACAAATTTGCGCATCAATGTAATGAACGTATATGTCAGGCATCACAAGCCCTTAATTTCTAGAAATTTTATTGCGATATAATACCAATATTTCTTTGTCTTGGTATTAATGGTAATTGTGGTTCAACTGCAGGAATTAGGGGGAAATGCTTGGTGGTTTGATCGATTTCTTGCACAACATATAGCTATATTCTATTATTTCATGACAGTCTTGATGTATGCTTTGAGCCCGAGAATGGCATGTAAGTTGAAATATTAAGATCTGATTTAATCATTTTTCTGCAACGTACCCGTGTTCTTTCAATGCGTCTCTGTGGGTTTAGCTTTCACGGTTTATCCATTCACAGTTTCCCCTGGCTTTTGTACGAGTTTCATCTTTTCATTGTTGTTGTTTTTAGGGGAAGCATTAGCATATTTTAAGTCTTACTTTATTTAAATATTTGGGGGAGGAAGGCACTTTTGATATTTTTGCCGTTCTTTGCCTGGCTTTAAGTTCTTTGATTTGTTTACCTTAATAAAATTGGTGATTGGTCACGATTTTATGTTTGATAAGGCCCTTAAGGAGTGACCGATGAGTTTTTTTTATGTATGGCCCATTATCAAGCAGTGTTATCAAAGGCGCGCTTTAAGCCTAAAGCGACGCTCAAAACGTGTTGAGCGTTTAGCCTCGCTTTATGTGCACTTTAGTGTTGTCATCAAGGTTCCAAGGCAAGCATTTCCTTGCCAATGAGCCTCTTATGAAGAATTTGAAGCTAAACAATTGATATTTCACTCTATCATAAATTTTTTTCAATTTGGTTAGTCATATATTTTAAACATTCATGTTTATAATTATTAAGTTTTGGACTAAACATATATATTTTATTCTTTGCTCCCTTTGTGCCTTTTTTCGTTAAAGCCCACGCTTTATTTGCGCTTTGCGCTTAAAGCCCCCACAGACCTTAGAGCTTTTTTGCGCTTTTCGCCTTTGATAACTCTGTTATCAAGGCTAATATCGATACATTGATTGGTGTTCCTTCAATTCTCGCAGATCATTTCTCTGAATGTGTGGAGAGCCATGCATACGAGACTTACGATAAATTCATCAAGGATCAAGGAGGTAATTTTTTTTTAAAGAAGTTGAATAGTTTGAACAACAATGTTGCACTGATGGAATTAGAAGTGCTAGTTTCTTTAAATTTGTTTGGCCGTTTCTCGAGGATATGCTGTACTATACTTCAATTTGTTTGTTTCGAACTCTTTCCTTTTTGGCAACTCTTTAATACCTACATTCAGCAATGCATGTTTAAGACCACGAGAATCAAGGGCATTTTGGTACGAACAAATTGAAGCGAAGGGAGTATATATTCTTAACTAATATGTAGTCCGAATGCTTCTGCAGAGGAATTGAAGAATTTGCCCGCTCCAAAGATTGCAGTGGACTACTACACGGGAGGTGACTTATATTTATTTGGTGAGTGTTACATATCTTCCTTAATACTCTCGTGACTCGATATCTATCTGGTTCAGTAATCTAAACCGTTTTGTGATTGCATCAGATGAGTTTCAAACTTCACGAGAGCCTAATACTCGAAGACCAAAAATAGGTAAAACACACACCTCATATACCTTTAGTAAAACCGTTTTTAGACAAGTGAGAGTATAATACTGATTGAAGTCTTGCGTTTCCTGTTTAGATAATCTCTATGACGTATTCATGAACATTAGAGATGACGAAGCAGAGCATTGTAAAACGATGAAAGCCTGTCAAACTCACGGGAGCCTTCGTTCTCCACACACAGATCCATGCGATGATTCTGAAGATGATACAGGGTGTTCCGTACCTCAAGCTGATTGTATAGGTATCGTGGATTGTATAAAGAAGTCAGTCACCGATACTCAAGTAACCAAAAGGTAGGAAAAGGAAAAACGCGGACAAACTATACTTGTATATACTAGTATAGACAAAAAAAAAAATACAAAGATATAGGTACATGTTGTATCTTTTTGTCTGAGGTAGAGATGTTTTGGAAAGTTTTCAAGGCAAAATACATAGTTTACCTCATGTAAGCTCTCCTTACTAAGATTGTTTTTATATTTAGAATTTGTACCCGAAACCTGTTATAGGTGGATGGATCTTGACAACTTTTGGATATATCGACTCCATGAGCTTTTTACACACGCAACAATATGTTACCCTTTAGCCCGTGACAAGCTCAGCTACAGAGTTAAGTTATGTGTACACCATAATAGGAAATGAGATTGTGCTCCATGTTTCTTGTTCGCGGAGATGAATTGATATATTTATTGAATAAGCTTGAAACCGGAGTTTTGTGCAACTTCGGGAAAAATAGATATGAATACTAAGTTAGATTTAATATTTTGAACCAATAAATTCGATTATGTGATGCATAGTTACATGATGAAGCTACGTTTTGGGACTATCTTATTTTATTATAATATTATTGTAGCAAAAATATCTCATAAAGTTCTCTGTACTCCAGATTTTTAGGTCATGTGGAAGTGTGCAAATTGTACTTTATGGTAGATTTTGAAGACACATCTCCAAGTCATCGTCATAAAAGTAAAGACCATAAAAAAGTTGTTTGTCCTTTTCCCCTCTCATATTTCCAAATTTTTTTATCGAGCGTTCTATATTTGCATTAGAATATATATTCAATTTGTGATTACTATTTAAATAAGAAAAAATGATAAAAATTTTATATTTAAATTCTCTTATTATCATTATTTCCTATTAATTTTAGGATTTTTCAAAATTTCTCTTTTTCTCGCATCAATTAATGTATTTCGGGCATCAGACTAGTGTATCATGTATAAAATGTATTTCTTTACCTGTCTAATTTCAAAAAATTGGTTTAACTAGTTCAAAGATATCAAACGAAAAAAGACGAATGGGGGTTATTCTGTCAAAAAAAAGGGGGGGGGATGTACATTTGCTTGAAATAGTTTCGAAATAAATGTTTTGCGCCTTTGAGCCCGCATAGAGCCTGTAATTATACTTCGCCAAAAATCTGATTGTTGCGAATAGCTTTTAAAGTCATTTTTAAAATGTATATATATCTTACTTAACGATTAATGTATCTCGCGCATCAAATTAATGTATCAATTTGAGAAATTTTCGTAATTATAAACTAAAAGAAACAAATAGTAATTTTTCTGTCATTTACCCTCTAAATAATCATACATATAAATACGTAACATTTGTAATTTCTTATACTCCAAAACAATTCCAAATAAATTGTGTTTGATCTATTGCGTGAAAACAAAATATTCCAATTACATAACGTGTAAGGTCTATTAAAAATATTTTTTATTAAAAAAAAAATATATATAAAACTTAAATCAAAAACGATGGATCGCCCTAACAACTTTTTGGTGGTTTTTGGTGGTTGACTATATATATATATATATATAGTTCATACAGTGGTACGTAAACCCTAAAGTAGAAGTTTAGGTTTTGGTTCGGCCATGTTACACGACTC